CCGCAAACTTACCCGATGCTTGCGCCATAGAACCATATTCCCAGTAGTATCTGCTCATGTTACTAGGATAAACATTTTTCTCTGCGTCCACCAGAAAACCTTTAGGAGCAACTGGACTAAAATCTGAGAATTCCGAACTACAATCGGAATCTATTCTCTTCACCCTCATAACGCCACCAAGATCCTCGTAAACCGGTTTAGGGTGTTGGTTTATATTAGAACCCAACTTTTTCGACTGGGGTTGATCAATTCCAGTCACTACTGGGGCTAATCTTCTTTGTGCAATACGATCCTGCAGAAACTCAGTTGAAAATTCCTCACCAGTCTGTAGACAAACATTAGTCTCATTTTCGTCTGCAGCATTTCTGCCACTTCGAACATCATCTGTTGTATCTCTGCACAACTGTCGACCAGAAGTACCAGGAACCTCACCAGTCATGGTCTCGAAAGAAGTTCCACTTCATCTAAGGTTTATCTATGAACACCCCCTATCACCTTTCAGTGTTAAATCCTCGATGAAAATCATAATTCCAAAATGGATAATGCTCAAAACAATTACATAAATCCATCTTTAAAACTCATTCCATGATGCACCTATGAACACTCTCTGCCCCTCCTTAACATAATTCTAATTCTTCTTTCGGAAAAATTGCCAGAGTGAACTTGACATTAAACCCCAAATCGCTCAACTGTGTACAAATTCCTTGATGGGCGATATCCATAATTTCTGTCAACATAGAAGTCACCATTCAAGAACATCCGAAACCAACAAGATCACGTATCATTCGCAATATTAGCCATCACCGGGTTTCCATAACGAAAGATAGCCTAAGAAAATGGTGCAATAATTTTCATAGAGCGGATTATCAATGGAGAAACAATTTGCAATGACGAAACCAATGCAATATCTGTATCCTCGCTACCTAAACAAATAATTTCCCATATTAAAATGGTTATTCTGTGTACTTTCGACAAACATCTAGCGTACAGAAGTGAAGAAAATAAAAATATGAGAGCCAAAGCTCACAGAGGGATATGAAAACGAAAGAACGAACATGAACATGCAAAAGGAAAAAAAAATGTAGCAAAATGGGTACCTTTGTGATGCTTAAAATGCGCTGATCAACGTTTGAAATCGAAGCTCAAAGACTGGTGCACTGGGATTTCAGCATTTCGGATTAAACCGGAGGAAAACGAAAAGAGGAAAATGGATTTAGGAGTTGGGGTTTTGTTGGTTTAGAGAGAGAGAGAGAGAGAGAGAGAGAGAGAATAGAGGATCGGAGTTGAAGCAACAACAATTACGAAGGATTACGCGTCATTACTGCAGGAAATGGAGGGAAAGGACAGGGCCTAACTGCTCTCAACCTATTTTTGAATGAATTTCTCCTCCTTTTTCTTTTTTGGAAGCTATTAGAAATTTGTTAGCATACTTACGTACTTAATACAATCACGTGAATTATATATGACCGTCTGATTGTATTAAATATATAAAAGTATTGTTCTGTACCTAAAATCCTATGTGGCCAAATTCATTTGTTGACACATGATCCTTCATTTAAATCCTACTTAACAATGTTAATTATTCTCGATAGAAAAAAATAATGTTAATTATTCAACTTATCTCCTCAAGAAAAACTTAAATACTAAAGAGAAATTATGCCAAAAGTACATGTGTCCCCCGAGTACATAAGTCACATAAAGGCTACAAAGGATTTTGGGTACAGAAGATTTGGATTCATATATTTAGGGGTCCAATTCTGTTAATCCACCAACTTTGTTTTTGTATCTATTATGGAATTGACTCCTTTGTTGTTTTGAACGAGGAAAAGAAGCTTGAACATCAAACAAAAGTTAAAATTTTAAAATTTACATAGCTCAATTTTCTTGTTTAGATTCATAGCATAGAAAATTAAAATTCTAAATTTATACACCCACCACCATCGCCATCATCATCATTGCCACCACCACCACCATCATCATTGCCACCACCACCATCGTCATCATTGGCCCTATTACCGTCACTACCACACACAACCACCTCTACTACCACGTGGCAAAGTGGGAAATTGGCTTAGTAAATTACACCTAATTAATTAAGGACATCAATTTCTCGTGATTTAAAGAGCTTAAATCACAATACGACAAGTTGTGCATAAATTTAGGGGGTGTAGTCAAAATAGGATTTGATAGGATTTTAATAGACTTTAAAATCAGAGTGTAGTCAATTATAGTTTTACAAGATTTAGAAATCATGGTGTAGTCAAAGTAGGATTTTAAAGAATACATCTAAACTTAAGGATAGTGTTAATTAGATTTTAAAAAATACATCTAAATTCAAAGTTAGTGAGAGAATGCAAAAGATTTGATAGGATTTGAATGGGAGAGCGATTAGGGATGACAATTCTAACCTTTAAAACTGATAACCATTGATAACCGCCAGAATGGATTGGATTTGGGTATGAAAATTCGGGTATATTTTGGATATGGAGAAAAACCGTTAATAATATTCGGTTATAGTTTTGAATATGGTTATAAGGATCCCCAATTTGTATCCGTCTCCAAATCTAAACTAAATTATATATAACATAATAGTATTTATATATATTTATTATTCACCGAATCCATTACCTTAAAAATACAAAAGTTGCACTGTGTGAGTTGCATTTTGTGGGCAAGTTAAGAAGTTTTGATATGAATCAAAATTTATGAGAATCCAAACCAATAGTACTTATGAGAGATATCAAAGATCAACCAACATTATCAATGTTTAGCTTTAATTTTTATGTTACACAAGATCCATTCATTAAATCATTTTATACATCAAATATTTAATGACGAAATTAATATTTACTAAATTATCATACGTCAATTGAACGAATATATTTTTTGTATTGACGAAGATGGGCATAACCGTTAACCGATGAGGAATCCATTACCCGGTAGATATGGTTATGGATAATACCCAATAGTTAATTGGCGATTATGTATATGATTAATTTTCGTAGTTATGGAGATGGATATAGCATTTCCGTCTCCAACCAAACCGTTGCCATCCTTAAGAGGGATTTTGATGGATTTAAAGGTGGATGGTATATATACCAAATGCCATCAAGAATCCTACCCGCCCCCATCTGATTTCTTTTCACGCCCTTAAACAGAAAAGAACCTTCCAAGTCCTTCATCTTCATCTATACCTTCCTCTTCGGAACACATCCCATCCTCCTCTTCGACTTCATTGTCTTCATTCTCATCTATCATGGATTTGTTTTTCAAATTCTACTGGTAAACAACTATTGGGTTCAGGCAAGTTCTAATCCCTAATTCTAAATAAAATCTTTTTCTCCAGGATTCAAGAACTCACAATAAAATTCTAAATTAATTAAAAAAAATCCTTTCTAATCCTAATTAACTATTGGGTTCTGGCAAGTTCTAATCCCCTTTGCCAGTTCTAATCTTCGTGTGTTGGTGGAAAAAGGGAATTAGGGACACTACAATAGCGGCCACCATTTTTACGACCATTTTTTCCAAGGTGAAGTGACGCACCCTAAATTGACATGTTCTAATCTTTCCACAGAGGACTCCCCACCAGTCTCATGCTCTCCTAGGCGAGTACTTCTATAACATGTGTCACATCCCAGTTTCGACTCCGTCAGCATAATATTATCTGTTTTCGGCCCCGACCACGTCCTCACGGTTTTGTTTCTGGGAACTCAGACGAGAACTTCCCGGTGGGTCACCCATCCTATGATTGCTCTCGCCCAAACTCGCTTAACTTCGAAATTCTGATGGAACCCGAAACCAGTTAGTTCCCAAAAGGCCTCGTGCTAAATAGAGGTGGGCATGTACATATAAGGCATGTCACCCCCTCTCTGTTGGTCGATGTGGGATGTTACAATCCACCCCCCTTAGGAGCCCAACGTCCTCATCGGCACACTCACACCACACGACAGAGTGACTCTAATACCATTCTGTCACATTTCGGATTTCGACTCCACCGTAGCACGATATTGTCCGCTTTGGGCCTCAACCACGCCCTCACGTTTTTGTTTCTGGGAACTCACGCGAGAACTTCAGAATGGATCACCCATCCTAGGATTGCTCTCGCTTGAACTCGCTTAACTTCGAAGTTCCGATGGAACTCGAAGCCAGTGAGATCCCAAAAGGCCTCGTGCTAAATGGAGGTGGGCATGTACATATAAGGCATATCATCCCCTCTCCATTGGTCGATATGGGATGTTACAGCGTGCGTCATTTGGTGTGCAATAGGTCATGAAGACAATTTAATCTCAGCCATAAGATTTTATTAAATATGATCTAACAGCTCTGTGTGATTTCCAATTTTTTCAAAATACTACGAAATCCATGAAAAAAATCCATACAACTCCACAAAAATCTCTATAATATAATCCATATAAATCTATCAAAATTCATATACAATTCTGAAGTCTATTAAAACCTTTTGAAATTTGCCACCTCAAAAAGTACATTAAAATTCTTTGCAATTCAAATTGACTACACGCGTAGTTTCAGGTTAAACAAAATCTATAATTTAGAATTTGGGGGAAAAGTTGTACCTAAATCAAAGTCCCTAAATAAAGTTTAAGCCCTTCACATTCGTAGGAGCTTTGTTCAAAGCCCAACCTAGCAGATATAAACAACCCTTCCATTGCTTTCAAGAACAAGGTTAGGAAAATATTTTCCGCACTCCTCTTTCTCGTTATGCACTCTTGTTTATTTATGTCTCAATTCTCCTTTGACTAAAGGGTGTGCAGGAGAAGGACGTGTATAGAAATCACTTCCAAATTTTGACGAGACACGTCCAAAGTCAGAGAGCACCTATCAACTAGGAAAGCACGACTTTCCTACTCAGAAACATTCACATCACACCCAATCTCTTTTGCTTGAACCATGCAGTTGGAAACCAAACCAAATGCCAATTGGGTCAAGAAAAATGAAAAGCAACAACAATAAAAACCAGGTTATAGCAAATATAAAATCTCTTTAAAACCAAATCCACAACCGGTTACTTTATTTTCGCCATTAAATCCACAATTCATCAAATAGTTCTGAAAACATCCATGACTCCCCCCTCCTTCAATGGAAGGCAGGGGGAAGGAAACATCAAAACAAATGACAACTTCCAAACGTGAATATGAAAAAATATCCAACAAGCTAACCAACAGCACCAATAGGCATGAGATTCTATTCCATTAAGTTGGAACAACCTAATCTGCTGTGCAATGTGCGGAAATATTTGGAGCTCGTAAATATACTGTCTACCTAAAGGATTCTGGACGCTTTGGCTTGCTTTGAACAACAGCCTCAATCTTTTCCATTACAGCAGGAGTTAATAGAGGGATTACATCAATAGCTTTCATGTTCTCTTGGACCTGCATACAGATGAAAACAGCTTTTTCGTAACTGTAGAAGGATGACATAACAATTGCTTTTTTTTTTTAGCGGAAATCAGAGGTCATAAACGCTCTCTTTGCTTTTCCAGATCCGACTATCACCAATTTAAAACAAACCAGAGTACTCCTTCACAATGCAATAACTACACGCTTATTTAACAATCACATCACTGTACATTTTTTAAAGGTTTAAAAGCCGTTCCCTCTCCATTTGCTCCTTCTCCCAATTAGTAGAATTGGCCATATTGTTTCCATGTAAACCCCTCTCCATTGAATGGAGACTAGCAAACAATTTTGACATGGAGGTTAGGCATGTAAAAGCTAACATGTCATTGAAAAGTCATTTTTGTTTCTTAAGGTCACGTTTGCTGCCTAGGATGAGATTGGATTGGATAACTCATTACATTCAAGGTATGTTGAAGTTGAAACGAAGGCCAGCTTCCAAGTTTTGTCCAACTTAAAGGAATTAGATGGATCAGCTGTAAGGTGTTGATATCCTACCATTCTGTGAGGATTCTTTAACTTGGACAAAATTTGGAAGTTAGCCTCCATTTCTTCCTAGAACATACCTTGGATCTAGTGAGTTTAAACCGAAATGTGGCCTAAGTTTAAACTGAAAGGAATGCAATCTAGGATAAGCTAACAATCACCCTGCTGACTTAAAGCTTTACAACCTCCATTCTCCTTATCTGGGTTGTTAAGACATTTTATATATTGTTTTCTTCTCCCCTCCCCCAGGTTTAAAGAATCTGGGAAACCGACATTGAAGACCAAACTCTAAGTAAATGACCACTATTTAAGAAATTAGAACAAGTTTGCAGCTATTCAAAAAGCATAGGATGGGCGACATTACAAATGACTGAAACTGGAAGATCATAACAATATTACCCTGCATATGGTAATGACCAATATTATGGTTTACCATAACATAATACTATTCGCTTGGTCGGCAGCTATTCAGATAACAGGATATGATGTGAAAAAAAATAAAATTAAATAAAATTAAAAATAAAAATGCATTCAAAATCAGGAATAATGTGGACATGTGTGCATAACTAGTAATATACTAATATAATGCGTACATAAGTGCCAGCACGCACCAACAAACTTATACAATTAATGTACTTAAAAGTTGAATCTTAATCAGAAAAACTCTCCAAGATACAAAAATAAAAAATGAAATTGAAAAATGAAATCAATTCTAATGCACTTAAGGAAAGATTAAGCACAGACAAGCTAAAAGAACAATACTGCCCATCATGTCTCACGAATGGTGATCATTGAACACCAAACTGACATGTAAGGTTCAGACCCGCTGGAAATATAACATAGACAGGGATGAATTATTTTCCTTAAATTTGAATTAACCTCACAGTAGTAGTCTAGTAGATCAAGCAATGCATAGAAGCTAAGAATGACTGCATTACAATTATGTCGCAAATTTGATGTATGTTAAAACTAACCTGTGACTCCTTTGTAGCACCAGTAATAACTGATGAGACATTCGGATTAGCAGCGCACCACGCAATTGCTAGTTGAGCTAATGGTACACCTAATTCATCTGCAATTGGCTTAAGACCATTAACTTTTTTCAGCACGTCATCAACCAGCGATCGACTAGCAAGATTCTGCAAAGCATAAAGCAAACGTTAGCCATCCCACCCATAAAATAGGAAAAGGTTTATAACAGTCTAAGCAACCTTGAAAACAGAAAACTAATATATGATAACATCTGCAATGTCCGTTAAGGGGAAACACCAATGATTCTAATCCAGAAACCAATCAATGCATGTCATTACATTACATCCCAGCAATAGCAAATTATATGCTGGGTTCTGATTAGAATATGTTGGCAAGTAGATAAGGGGGAGGACAAATATTTTAATACACATGATAATAAATAATTGGTCTTGAAAAATAGACAGCAGCAGTTTAGAGTCATTAATCTAAACAATTCAACCGTGCATGTATATAAAAGCATAGAGTTAACATATTCTTTAAATCCCCTTACTTTGTAATTGTCCAAAGCAAATCGGCTATCAGGAGGTATATTTCCCTTGTTATATTTTCCAGTGAGAACACCAGAAGCAAGTGGACTCCAAGTGGTAAGTCCCAGGCCATAGTTGGTATACAGTGGGAGGAACTCAGACTCAACCTGCACACATAAAAGTTGAAGGAAATCATGAATGAGACAGGGGAGAGAGAGAGAATTCCTTTCTTTGCGCTATAACAGCAATATTCATGTTCCCTTGTCAGGGACATATATAAGGAAATATAGGGCAATGCAGTTGATGGAGTATAACCACACATACAAGACAATTCTATACACTATAAGCCAAATAATAGGCATAGAAGACATAACAGCTATTACAAAAATTACAACAGAGGACAAGTTGTCTGCCAATTTACAAGTTTTCCATACTACAAAATAAGTAGAAGACATAACAGCCATTACAAAAATTACTTACAGAAAACAGAAAGAGAAATTACAAGACATCAAACAAAGCTGTAAGTTACAGCAGCAGCTCTCAAATCTGAAAATGTTGCACAAGAAAGGCATTAAACTTTGCAGACACTGATGTCCCATATCGAAGCCCAGAGCTGGACCCTTTCCCATAAAGAGTGTAATTCAGTAATCCATATACTATTAATACAAACGTGGATGAATATAAGTTCAGGCAATTTAAGGTAATCATTCAGCTAGAGATGAAAAATGATAGAAGTTAAATTTTTGCTTGTAAGTTAGAAATGAGATTCATCCAAAAACAAACAGTTAGAAGTGAAAGACATGAGCTTTCCAGGTTTTCAGAACCAATAGTCACACAATACAGAGATGCAACAGACTTATTACAATGAATCATAAGAAATCATTTACCAGGAATGCTCATCTATTTCTATTGATTATAATTGTCAGAAAAATGAAATTTAAAGGATGCTGCCATCCCATTGACATGAATGAAAGAATATATGGTTCAGGAACAGTTGGTTGAGTCCTTGTGGTAGAAGGGTTTCAGCTTGAAAATGGGTAATGAACAATTACAAGGAGAAAGGTGGAAGCAAAGTTAGCAATGAGTAAAAAACTGGAAGAACTGTGGCTACAAATACTACAAAGACAAACTTTTGGTATTTCAAATTAAATAAAAAACTGAAAAATCTTGATATCTAATATCTCTAAGTGAAAACTGGAAAAACAAGGCTACAAGTACTGCATAGACAAACTTCTGCATACTCGTGTAATATCTGCGGCCTTTTAACTGAATACTACATGACCAAGCTCATTACCAATCTTCTCCCATGACTACTCTCTATGACCGGGAACTTAATCACAACGTAATGCATAGTCAACTGCTTATTTTCAGCGCCGATAGTAGGATACTCGTACCATTTGTGAACATCAGCTACTAAATCTCAAAACAGTTAAGAAATATCAGGTCATCCTATCAAAAACACCACTCAGCACTTTCTTTTGATTTTTGTTACGAAAACCAAGATCAAGTAATCAATCATCAACAACCTGCACCTCAGCCTTAATATGAAAGTAAACCACTTAGGGCTTAGCATCACATATACAAACACAAAATCCACCAATTAGCAAAACCCTAATTAAACCAATATTACAATTTTCATCCACCAAGCTACAAATTGACTGCAAACCCAAATTAAAAAAAAACTTCCAAACCTTCCTAAAAATTAATTAAAATCAAACAATCTCCATCTGGGCACAAAAACGAATTAACAAACAAAAAATCAAAAGGCCATGAATGCCGACCGACCTTGTGCCTGGAGAGCAAATTATACTCAGGCTGCTCAACAATGGGACCCACCAAATCCAACCTCTGGGCGATCCCCCAAGCCTCCGTGATCTGCTGCGCCGACCACTCACTGGTCCCCCAATAAAACGCCCACCCCTTATCGATCACATAGTTCATCGCCCTCACCGTCTCCTCGATCGGCGTCGTGGAGTCGGGACGGTGGCAGTAGATGAGATCCACGTAGTCCGTGTCCATCCGCTTGAGCGACGCCTTGGTGCCCTCCACGATGTGCTTCCGGGAGAGGCCCTTGTCGTTGGGTCCGGGGCCGCCCCAGAAGATCTTGGTGGAGAGGACAACGTCGGAGCGCTTCCAGCCGAGCTCGCGGATGGCCTGGCCCATGATCTCCTCGGCGCGTCCGGAGGCGTAGACCTCGGCGTTGTCGAAGAAGTTGACGCCGTGGTCGCGGCAGGTCTGGAGGAGGGACTTGGCCTCCTTGACGTCGAGCTGGTTGCCGAAGCTGACCCAGGCACCGTAGGAGAGCTGGCTCACTTTGAGGCCCGACCGGCCCAGGTTGTTGTACTGCATATTATTCGACACCATTGCAGACACTGTGAGTCTGCGAGGAGTCAAATGATGGGAGTTTATCGGGTCGCAAGGAACAGGACACGTCTCTATTTTTCTATTTTCGATATTCCTATTTGTTTTGTTGGATTTATGTAATATTTTTAATTGGAGAGGTGTCGGATAATGAGTTAGAGTGGGGACCTAGGCATAGGCATGTGGGGGTGGGGTGCGGGTGGGCGTTTCAATTTTTGTAACGCTTTCTTGGACTATTTGAGTATCTTTTTCGACCGTGGGTGATGCTTTTCTTGTTGTGTAGGTATCTTAAATGATATATATCATCATTAAAAAATAAGTACGTTATTCAATATTTACGTTACAATTCAATTATCCTTTTTAAATTGTCTAGTTACTAACTTTTTTGCATACGCTAATTCAAAAGACTTATTTTAGTTAAGGGCGTTAGGATGGGATTTTCTCTCCATCCTTTTTCCCTTCCTTACCTCCCCCCTCTCCCAATTTTTTTTTTCTCTTTTCTCTCTCTTTACCGAGATGAAATCTTGATCGTTCAAATAGAAGAAGAGGGAAGAAGAGAGGAAAAATATGAGAGAGAATCCTTCTCCACATTCTTAATCATAAGCTCTATGCACGACTTGCACTTAGATTACGTAATGCTAGTAGACCAAATTTGCAAACAAAATTATGTGGTTATAGATGATTGAATCATTAATTATGTGTCGATTAACGTGTTTCTTTCTTATTAGTGATACGTTTTGCACATTTGGCTTAGAAATTTGATCACCATGTCATTATCCTTTAGATAATACATAAGAAATAAGTTTTATACAAACTAAAATAAAACATATGCATATTTTTCCCTCTCTTAATTTCTGCAATGCGTGTGTATTGTGTGTTTTAGTGCTAGCAACACATAGGCCCTGCATCTTCTAACGCGTAAGCATATGGACAGTCTCATTTTCACTTTGCACCATTAGTGAGAATAGAAGCATTTGAGAGACGTGAAGAGAAAGCGTACAACCGCATAACTCTAATGCGGATAATTATCTACTTTTTATTTGGGAAATTTTATTTAGGATTAATCTCAGTTTACTACTTTGAAGTTTATTGGTTTTCAACATTTGATACACGAAGTTTTTTTTTCCTCCTAGAGTGGTACCTGAAGTCATAATTTTGAGACATTTTCATATATCCGTTAAAGTTGCTGTTAAATCAGCCTTTAAGTAGTGACATGGCGTCCAAGTAGATAATGATTGGGTGCCACGTGTCAATATGGGCCCACTTGAATATTAAAAAAATTAAAAAAATTATTAAAAAAAAACTTGGGTTATCTCCTACCTCCCCCGACCCTCCCTCCCTTCTTTCCTCTGCACCCCTACTCTTTTACTCCTTTGATCCCTCCCTCCACTCCCCGTCAAAATTTCAGGGTTGTCCAGGAAAAAGGTTGTCAGAACCCACAGGACGACACTAATGTCGAAGGTTTAAAGCAGCAGGAACTGGAAGAGCAACCAACAGCTCATCGATTTCTTCGGCGGTCAAGTCCAGCAACCCTTCCGCCTTCCAAGCCTTCAGAGTGATAATTTGGACGTCAAGTTGGGGTTTTTGCTTTTAGGTTTTTAGGTTTTTAAATTTTAAATTGGATTGATCTGAGGAGAGAGAAAGGAGGGGAGGTGAAGAGGGTGAAGGATAGAGAGGAGGTGGGTCAGGGAGGTGGAGGAAGGGATCAGGGGAGTGAAGGAATGGCGGTGCAGATGAGAGAAGGGAGGGAGGGTCAGGGGAGGTAGAAGATGACCCAAGGTTTTTTTTATTAAAATTTTTTTTTTTATAATTTTATATATTTTTTTTTAATATATACGTGGGTCCATATTAACACGTGGTGCCCAATCATTGTCCACGTGGATGCCACGTCACCAGTTAATAGCTGATTTAACAGCAACCTTAACAAATATATGAAAGTGTCCTAAAATTATGACTTTAGGTACCACTCTAGGATGAAAAAAAACTACATGTATCAAATGTTGAAAGTGAATTTTTATTTAAACCCATCTAACCTATTTCCACACCAAACTTACTATTTGCACCCATTTGATTTTTAACTAAACTATTAATATCTCTTTAAACCCAAATTTAATACCTAATATACCCACCATAAACCCAATTCAATATGTGGATTTATTTTTACACCCATTTGATTTTTAGAAGCTAAATTTGATGTGTTTAGACCTGAGTTCTTTGCATGGTTTTCCATAATAAAATGGGTTGTAATGAAACCAATCAATGTCTAGTAACTTATGGGCTATTATGGTACTAGGGTTCCACAAGGGAAGTCTTGTGTTTGCGTAGCATCTATAGTAGTCACGAGGTGGAGGCCAGTCAAGTAGTAGGCAGATGAGGCCATTGGAAGAACCCACAAGGGATGAACTATAGAGACTAGTATCAATTGCAAATTCATCTTCAAGGTCTCTACGACTGCTTTCTATTGCTGATTATACGAGAGGTGGAGGCGCCGCCAACATTCTTCTTGAATGATTGGTAGTCAATGAGTTGGGGAAATCGAAAGGGGATTGGTGGCCAGTCATGGAGAAGTGGATGAGGGCGTTTAAAGAGAATCAGGACATTCTTGTTGTTGTCGTTGGTATGTGCTCAATGCTTGGCGACGAACTGGGAAGTAGAGATTAAGTCGCGCCATGACTTGCATACACAACAGAATCAGAGAAGAGATATGACCGATAGCCATGAAAGTATCTTGACGAATATATCGTCATTGCTGAAGGAGAAGATCGGCAATTCTCCATCATCACCCGCCATAATATAGTAGAAAATGAATGGCTGAATATACAAATATGCCATATCTCACAAGGAAAGGAAGAATACAAATCATACTCCGCCCAAATATAAGAGTCCTAATATATATACAACTTAATGATTTATATTAGACCAAATATAAAATTGAATTTTATTTTTTTCACCTCTTGAGAAATTCACCCTACAAAAGAATGTCCTTCAAGATACTCTCAAGCAGGATGATTATACACTCCACATGCTACCTTCAATGTCCAATCGTCCTCATCACCAATATTCGCACCTTTCAACAAGAATGGACATCCACATTTTTTCGTGCCAGAACTCCTAGATTGTTTTTTTTGTGTGACCAATCTCATTTGACCTTTGACCATATGCTACAATACACTTGTATGACGGATATGTACCGTTTCTTTCATAAGCAAGTGTTAGTTGAGGGCGACTCACAATCCTCCCTTCACCTCCTAAATCAGACCTTTTAATAACAATTACCATGTTATTCAGCTTTCCATGTTCATGAACCCATCTAATCAACACATCTTTTCCTTTGAATATCTGCACGTAACAAATATTTTATTTAGAAGTAAAATTCTAAAATTAACTAACACATCAACAACACTATAAATATATGATTACCTCATAAGTGTAAATTGGTTAGTATAATCCACTACACATTCTTGTCCAACCTCGTTGCCTCGATCAAAGGCATCATCGAATTCTTGTTGCCAAAAAATAAATATAAAAAATATGATAACAGTAAGAAAACGATGTAGAAATATTTTGGGTTCTAAATCCACAAAAAAAATGGATATTAGTAGTCACGCACAACTGGGCTTACAAATTTCAAAATAACTTATATTCTTAGTCCTAGTATCGAGGAAACAACTAAGCAAGATAATGCAAAGGAATCATGGTTTTTGCTTCAGAACCACAAGAAAGGAGCATAAGTTTGACTTCTCTCAGTTGTTTGCTAATTCAAGTAGTTCCTGGGTCCTTTCACAAGGGACATTTTTCATCGTTGGATGCTTTCGTTGTTATTTTAGCCAGAAGGTAGCATGCTTTCGTTGTATTTGTTGAAAAAAATTACAGTAAAGTAACTTCTACACTCTAAAAATTTGAAATTAAACGAACAAAAAATTCATAAATTGAGTCATACCTGGGTTGGAGGATTCAAAACTTCAAAATCACCATCCATCAATAAAAAAACTTATTTTTCTCTATGAGAGCTATTAGGATTTTAGTCAGAATGAATGTAGAATAAACAAAGAGTGATCATAGCATTTAATTATAGTGTTTGGGTTTATTGATAAATTTCAGTTTTATTATTAATTTCATTTTGTACTTAATAGTAATTATGCAATAGGGTAAACTAGACAATTAATGACACACCCCAACCGAGATCAGGGCATGCTGGCCGTCACGTGGAAGTGATGTAGCCATGTGCACAGTGCGGAAGCTAAAAACAGTAATAAAAAAAGTACGAATAATTTAAAACTAGCAAATATAATGTGATAAAGTATGTGCTAGCAAAAGTAAGACGCTTAATTCAGAGCTTTAAGCCTACAGCAGTCCAAAAGAAACGATACAACAATAGTACACCCGAAGGTGACCCTACGTAGGTGAGTGTCTGTCAGAATGCCGGGACGTCCTCCGGGAAAACCACCAAACCCGCTAAACTACTAGAACCTGGAGAGGCGCAAAAACAAAAGCGTGAGTGGGCAAAAACAAATTCTTTGAAAACCAATTCATAAAATACATTCTAACCCCTCGCCGTGAAACCTGTATACTTCCCAGAAAATAAATACATATGCGTAGATATGTTAAGTCATGCTCAAGGGTAAGCCAATCACGAAACCTTATAATATCATGCATGTGCTCAGGTATAACTCACATCAATAGCATAATAAACTGGCAGCCAGAGTCCCCTAAGTGACCTGTACGGCTGAATCTAGAGCTCAAAACTCAAAACTTAATCACTAAACCTGCCCACGAGTCGGAACCACCTATAGTGGTCTGTACGACAGGCCTGGGTGTAATACATATGAACGCTCTAGTGCTACGATCACGTGAATGCTGTGCGAATAATCGCGGGTCACCTACGAGTCGGAACCACCTATAGTGGTCTGTACGACAGGACTGTGCACCTAACTTGGATTCAAGCTGAGCGTGTGGTGCGGGAGGTGAACAACAAGTGAAGGACTGTGCCCTACTCTGGGTGGGAGCACTAACACCGG